ATAAATATACACATAGCAGCAGCTGTATGTTATAATACTCTCATACCTAACCTACTGGATGACTTTTGCGAGGTGGCCTCGTTAAATCGGCGACCTATGGGACGGATCTAGGATTATGATTTTCCGCTCTAAAATATCAAAGAATTTCTATAAGGTTCCTCCACCGTTTGTACAGCACCGGATGTCTAAAAAAGTCTGATTTTAGGTTTGAATTGAATTTTTGTTGGTACAAATGAATTCATTTCACTTCTACGTCTTGTGCACTGCTACACATTTATATATTTCTAATTTCTAAGTTTTTATTATTATTATTATATAGATAAGTTGCATATCCCTAGTGCTCATACGAGAGAGAGCAAGTCTTTCATGGTACTCTAGCACCTAACTACCCCAGCTGCCTCCACTTTAATACATTCACGCCTGCAATACAAAAATTAGCTCTAAAATTGTTTTTTATAATAAAAGCGGTCGGAATGCCATTATAAAAAACGTGATTTATCTGAAAAGAAAAACGTGCCTTGAAAAAGTATAGCTGTTTGCAAAGTAGTCCATCCGTTTCAGTTGACCAAAACTTACCGTAATACTTATTTACCGGGTCGATTAAACGAGGCGCGTTAAAATGTTTTAATCTCAACAAAATCTCAATGTAAGTACAATAATTATAATTGGTTGGGCGATATTGTTTTTATTTTTGAATTTTTCGCCAGTAGTTTGTTATTTGTTTTAACGTCGGCAGCACTTGAACGGTATGACATTAATCAAATACGGATGTGCAATAATAATATGCAATAGGTTAAATAAATAAAAAATAATAATCACATTTTTCAAAAATGTTTATTTCAAAGTTTTGTTTGTTTAAAAACCGACTTTTAAAACAAATGTGTCGGTATACTAAGAGTATAATAACAATTTTTTGATAATTTGCAGTTCATCTTATGTATATATATTAGATGGCGTTTACGGGTAAATTTTTAATTATTGCTTTTCTTTTTAAAACACTTAAAAATGTCCATGTTCCAAAATCATATTAAATAAAATACACACATTGTGTATCGTCATTGCCCGAAACGTCTAACCTATATTATTACAGTATTATGTTATTGCATCACAGCATTTCCTCGTTTTTTTTTTAAATTCGTTATATAATTATTATAGCTCAATAATTATTATCTAGTGCGTCGCTATATCGTTTAATATTCAATGTTTTGGCCGTTCAAGGGTATTTATTTATTCTCTATAATAAACTATTATACTCACTCTATATGTAATTGATTATGATAATTCGTAGGTTTTTTGGTGGTTTGGTAGTGATCGCTTATAAGAGCATAATAAGATGGCGATGATCTTTCTGAATTATCCAATACATTAACATTAACGGTTTTTAATCGATTCGAAGAAGTAATACAATACTTAAATTTAGTTGTTATAATATGTACACCGCAAGACTATTAATAGCATTAAAAAACGATACAGCAACGCATTATAATTTTTTTACATTAATACTGTTTGATAATTATTAAAATATGACTAATGACTATTATTCCACCCCTTCCCCCCCCTTAAAAAAACACTAAAAAATAAATATAAGGTACGCAAAAATTTTTCGAATTAATTTTAAATGCTTCATTATTAAAATTGTTTAGTAGAGTGATAATAATACTGATCTACGTTATTTTATATATGGTTGGCGTTTGTATTTTTGTACTAACTGCTAACAGGCTGACAAAACAGGTCTATTTTATTTTCAAATACACACAGCGCAAAATCCCAAATAGCATAATAATATTATTATTGCCTACTATGTTTAATGCGATTTTGAGAACAAGAAAATGTCATATTATATTTTAATGCGAACTGTGTCTGTAATAGGCTTTAAAATGGCACAACAATACGAAATTATTACACATTATGTATGTATGTATATAAATATATATATATATCCGTATAAAATTACCAGGCGAAAGCAGAGCATAGGAAATATCCCATGTGGTTTTTCACTTTAACGCGAAATCAGTTCAACTATCTAATAATTACATACCAATAAAAAAAATATATATTATTCGCTGTTACGTTAACGGTTATTGTTGTACGTTTTTATTTTGTATATTGGATTATACATTTCCCTATCATAATAAACAACGGTATTTCAATTAGGTTAGGCTGAATCTAACTTCAGTTAATCACAACCGTTATGCGTTTAACAAGTTGTTTGTGTGACTTGTTATTAATTACTATATCACAGTCAGTCAATAGAGACATGTATTTGTAAATGAAAAGAAATGGCTATTTTATTAAAAGGCAGAAGACATACAACATATGTGGGCATCAATTTATCTAGGAGACATATTATTTGAGATATTCCAACATTTTTCAATGGTATTGTGTAAAATGACCACTAGGTATTATAAATATTTTGCAAAACCTATTAAGTACAAACATAAACTTTGAAATAAATTTCAAAAATGTTAAGTTTAATAAGAACAGACTTCTGGATAGTGACTTTGCGTTTTAGTCTTTGTTTGTATGACAACTCCACTTAATAAGTACAACTGTAAGTTTTTCTTGACCAACTGTTTTTTTAATATATTTTTAACACAAGAACTTTAAGAATCTCCATACTCTATTATCATGGCTAACCCAAGTGTTGAATACATTAACCTTTGAACAAAAACGATTATCGATGACAAATGAAGTGTTTTCCGCAGAGAGATAACACGGTAGATAGATCATGTTATTTTATTATTATTATTATAGAGAAAAATGTTTATTATCATGCGAGTAATTATCATGCGATGAATAGCCGCGCGTAACAAACTAGATAATACAACCACAAAAATCTGTAACGATAATTTGTTTTATTTTTTTTATCTGGACACGCGTTTAAACAATTGCACGTTCTATTTAATTTAATAAACTATCTACGCAATATCTGTTGTATTTGTACAACTTCTCGATAAAAAACAAAATGGTAAACCGTCAAAAATTACAATCGCCAAGAGATTATCGAATAATAATAGTAAATATAAATAAATGTTAGATAGAGGTTATAATAATAACGACTCTCATTATTTTACGATTTAAAAAAAAACTAACGAGCTACCTATTACTTATTATGTTCCCTAATAGCATGCATAATATGACATCAAACAAAGTATATTTGCTGTTATATTTCCAACAATAGCAGTTAACGACACATTATATAGATTTGTATATGGGCGATTGAATGCCAATTGAAAATTCCAAATTCCAAACGTCCATAATTATTGTATTAAACAGCAATTATTCGTTCTGTAATGTACTACAAACAGTGTGGTTTCTTCTGTCCTAACATCAGCCTTCCACTGATAGAACACGCTCTAGAAATTCAGGTTAGGTTTAGAAAGTTCGAAACATGTATTATATTAGGTTATTTATTTTTGAATTGTATATACTACCACAAGGGGATCCCAGTCACACACGGCAATTAAATATTTTTAAAATCGTTTAATTGGAAAATATAAAAAAAATTGTATAATGACCGAATGTAGTAAAATTCTTTGAAATATTGTCAAAATAAATTGTACCTACAAATTTTTTAGACAGAAAATCACGCTTTATAAACAACACAAATGTATCGAAAATCAATAATTATATTATTATATAAGAATTTATTACAAACCTGAATATTATTCTTATTATATATTATTACCCACTACCATTTCTCACTTAACGTTTAAAAAATATTTATTTTTCTGAATAACTGATATTGTGTAGGTGGGTTAGGTTAGTGAAAAGATATCATTATTGGAACTTTATCTAAGACTACTTATAAATAAAAAAAAATGGTTTTGAGCTATTACTAGTTATCAAATGGTGTTATTTTCAAAACTTTATACTATTTCGTAAAAGTAAGTTAAATTGGTAAAAATCATCAGTTCTCTTTTTTCCAAAAATTCGATATTAATTATAATTTAGAATAATACCTTAAACGCAAAGGTTTTCAAGTTTATTCAGCCATTAGTTACCAAACATTAACTACTGTTGTAATGATTTCCCTTCGATAGTGATTAATATGATTGTTGCAGTAATGTACTTGGGTGTAATTTTTATATTACAAATAAACAAAAATGTTTATATTTAAATAGAACATACGGTAGATAATTATTATTTACAAATAGTTTTTCATTTTACATGTAATAGATTATGACGCATAAATGTTTAATGATATTGTGTACTTGGTCGTCTTATTCACTTTCACGTTAATTATAATTATAAAATTGATTTATTTTCTGACCAATTTATGTAATCTAAATGAATATTATTGATTTTTGTTTTTATTAAAATAAAATATCATACTATATAACAAAATATGCTTAGTTTAGTATTAACAGTACCATATTTTGACCTGTGGCTGCATCGATATTGAAAATAACAACTACTTGGAATGGACAACGGCTTAAATGTAGTTTACCGAACCATGGATTATTTAAAATTGTTCTCACTTGTAGGTATTTCTTGATACCAGAGTTAGTTTTGAGCAAAAGCAAAATTTATTATTTACAATTTTTTTTTGTTCAATGAAACGAAAGTTTTCGGTTGAATCAGAAATCATTTGACTTTTTGCAATAATAATAACTAACTAACTAAAGGGGACGAGATATCGTACACAGATTACGGTACAATAATTTATTATACCAACGATGTACACGGTTAGTTGTGTTGTATGTTCGCGTTTGTTACACGTGCCAAATTACATAACCAAGGAAAAATAATATAAAATAAAAAAAACCTAATATATTTCACCTTCTATTATATTTTATTGCTATTTAAAAATTAAAATAATATGTCGTAGTCGTGGACGGGTACGAAGGAATAATTACCGCCGTGCGGTGTTGGGGCTGCGCCATAAATACCGTACTCGCGAACGATAAATACCGTACTCCCGCACAGACTGTACGCCGTTCGCCCCTCTAAACAACACGGCAACCTCGTGCACTACTACGGCACGGCCGACACTCCGCCATACGTTACCGTTCATTCCGTTCCAGCCCGGTGTGGTATACGCTGGTCAGTGCGATATTTCCAAAAAAAAATTTAAAAAACGTGTCGCGCATAACAACCACCGGGTCAAAGGTCAATTTCGTTTGCATTTTGTTTTTCATTTAGAAAATTCGCTTATTTTTTTGTATAAAATATATATTTATATATGTGTAATAATAATAATACAAGTCGTTTGGTTTCATTTCACACGTATAAAATACCACAACGTATATAATATTAATATTGTTAAATTTAAAATAATAAATTAATCGCGTATTTGTTTATTTATTTGTTACAAATATTTCCCGCCCGTAAACGTGCCAAATGTTACAAAAAAATATATAATACATAATAATATTATATTGCTATCGTAATCGTACGGAAACGAAAGTGTGATAATTTTTTTTTCTTTTTTTCGAAAGTGTGCATTATTTGTCGATTTTGTTATTCCGTTAAAGTAGGTAAAGTGGCTGTGCCAAAAGTGGATTACTCAAAAGTAAAATTAAACATAAACATCGATACATGTTTTAGAATGGCTTTAGCCAGGTGAGCAAAAATTCTTATAATTTTTTATTGTTTTTATTATTATTATTGTTGTACATAGTAAACGTTTCCTGACAAGGTAGTACCAGCTCCTTTTTCTGCCTTAAACGGTTTTAACATATTAAATTATTGTCGTTTCGCGATGGCAAATAATATCGTTGGAAATGAATTAATAATATCGCCGTCTCGACGCTCCGGTGGCAATTTCGACGACCTCTCTGCCATTTAAAATAGCAAATAAAATAATATTATGTCGCTTTTTTAATTTATACAATTGGCGTACAGGAACACAACGCAAACACAATCATAACGATACAATGTCATAGCCAAGGTTGCCCTTGGGGCTCCTCCAATATCTCTGCGATCAACCTTTTCCAAAGTAGTTTTTTTACACGTTTGACGTTTTTCCATACGATTGGACACGAAGTCCTATTACTCTAAAAAGAGCTGTTCTAATTGTTGCTTTGTTAATATTATATTATTATTGTATATTTCTTATGTACTAGATAAAAAAAAACCTGCGTTTCGCCGCCATACGCGTTTGCTTAATATACATATATATTTATTATTATTTTTCGACGGCGTTATTTAGATATTTTTTTTTTTATACATTATTCGTGCTAACGTTTTTTTTGTTCGAACCTATTTCGTCGGAATCGAATTACGTAGTAACGCGTTATGTGCAAATAATAGTACATACCTATATATAATATTTTGTTATCAGATCTCCAAATCGATTCCTTCCGAACGATATTATTATTGTTATATAATATATGCAACGACGATAATAACAGCAATTCAATTATAATTTAGGTATGATAATTAACGACCGCTTTCGGAATGTCGTTCACCGGTTAACCTAGTGTGTGTAAAAATAATATGTAAAAAACAAACGTAAATGCAGTTTTTCTAAAAAAAAACAACTAAATAATTCTATTTATTCTCACACGGGCGTAGGTATATGTTTTGTGTTATATTATATTATTCACTACCATATTATTATTATTATGCTCAAGAGTTATTGTGTTAACGTGTACATGTTTTTCGTTTACGACTATGATAAACTTGAAGCCGTCGGAGTCGCAATCATTATCAAGGTTATGTATTGGCCTCTAATTTGCGTCATATCACCCGAGTTCCCCTTCCATCTTTTTGCCATATTATTACTACTGATTTTATGTGTGTGCGCGCGCCTACGGTAAAAACATGTCGTCGTACTTAAGGTTGTGTTTTTACGAATTAATGACGTTTTGAAATCGTTTCGGGTATCCAAAGTCATCATCCAAAGTAATACTTTCATTGTCGTTGTAGGTACAAATTTGACCGTCAATAATCGACCGCGTTATCAATATTGATAACATATGTGACCCTCCCGAAATTTTTAACTACACTATGGTTACCACGGTGACCGCGTTTCGGTATCTAATTTTTAATTCCGTGGCGTCGGTTTTTTTGGAAAAAAAACTATTGTGACAACGACAAAATGGTCGTACGGTTATTTCTGATCATTTATAAATATGTTACTATGTACTTTTATTTCGTTTATTCAGTGATGTAAGTGGTAACTCTCTGTCCCAAGACACAATATTATTAGTTTTGGTTAAACATTTACATGACAACCGTGCCGCCGCGCCGGTGTGTAATCTCTCTCTCGTGTGTGATGTACAACCGACTACACACGTAACACAGTCCGATAAGATTATGGATTAATAATTACCGTGTCCCGAGGCCTTTGCCGAGGAAGGTTCGTTTTCGCCATAGGCGAGTAGGATGGCGGAGAAGGGCAAGAGAAACGGGGCAATATCATTATGGTTGAAACGAGGTCACGGGATAGAACACGCCCTCGCGCAGGATTTCGATAGGCCGCAGCCTTCCAGATTTGTCCCCTTTCGGTTTTCATTGTGATATTTTTTTTCAAGTAGTCCACGAGAACTTTTGATCTTTGGATATTCTTTTGGTGTTACAAGTTGAACCGTTGCAAATATGTAGATTACGTACAACAATTTTTGAAAGTATTTTTCTAGCAAACGGTGTGGTGGTGGGTTGTTCTACCCTTTTTCCCGGTCCAACACGCCCACACGTGTGTCTAGTTGGGGTGTAGTTTTTTTCTTTTCCTGTCGCTTACACGTTACGTAGCCAGCCAAATGTACGTTTTCAATAAAAAAAATGTTAAAAAATGATTATCATTGGGTTTTTTTCCCACACACACACATACATAGACCAGGTTAGGTTATAATAATGAGTACACACGCGTAGCCCAGACGATGTCGCAGATGCGCTAAATGAACCAAAACGCGTAAACCGTGTGCAGATATTTTGAATATAATAATATTATTATTATATACATATATATATATATATATATATATATATATATTCGCTATTGGTCGTTTTTGTTTGTAGGTTTACTGGCGCGATGAGGTTAAATTTAAATACCGTCTGGAGGCCACATATTAGTAGAGTGTACAATACAATGACGATTACACGCCGCGCATGTACCGCCGGCGCTTATCTATCTTTCATGTATAACCGTACGGCATACTCGACGTTTAATACCGGGTACATACCAGGTATATACCAGGTACATTAAGTTTATTGTGTTGACAAACTATGAAGAGCGTACAAGGGTCTCCTGTGTGGTGAAAAAATAAAGTTAACTAGCCAAAATTATCGTGACAATAGAGTTCTCTAATTTGTATTAAAAAAAAAAAAATGTTATATTGCATTGACTGTGGTGTGCCCGTCGCCACTTTGACATGTCGGCCGGACAGAGGTCGGGACGTTGCAGGAAGAATTGCACCCAACAAGGACGACCAGTGAGTCCTAAGCAATGTCATCTGACCACAAGGTCGGTTTGCCGCTATTAAACGAAAAAAATAATCTAGGATTTTTTTTCATTTAATATATTCAAACACATAATAATATGTAAAATATAATAGTTGTTGTACAGGTGTGTGGTCGAATGAACGTCCTCCCGTCCCCGTCAAAAGCCACACTATATTATTATACTCTATACTATTATTTTGTAGAGATTGTTGTGTGTAGAAGTGTAGAACACAACGTTATTAATTGATATTATTTTATTAAAATGTTTTTATAATCTGTTTAAAGAGCCGTTACCTGTAAGATTTATAGTCTTGCCGTGTACAGTGTATACGCTCATTTATCATTAACATTATATTATTATTATTGTTATAAAAAATTATACATTCATGTATATATGTCTATTAATCGGTTGAGTAAACAGCAGACCTCCATTAGTATAAGTTTTAGTATTATTTATACAGATCTTGTCACTATAAAATTACATTTGTGTAAACTACATAAATTACATTGGGTATAATCTCTTCTCCTTCTCGGATATGTAATTTATATTCAAGGTTATTAATATGATTTGTGTATTCCTTTTGGAAAAAAAAATATTGACCTAAGATTACAATAGTAGACGACAATACTGTAGATAAATTATTATTATACCAATCGACACCGAATGTTATTTTAAAAATTTCATTAGAAAGACAAAATTAAGTAAAATTAAAAATCATACTTTACGGACGTTGCACTTAATATTTTTCTTTAGAACCTATCCATCTATTGAATGAAAAAGACGAACAAAATACCTACTGTGAGTGGAGTTACTACTACTACTGTGGAGTTTTAAAACTTTGAATTACTGAAAATTTGGAAGTACTTACTATTGTCGTTTTTCACCTGCAGTCCTTGGAATTATAAGTATTAAAATTAACCGCCTTTTTTATGTGAACTACCGGGGTTCTGTATTGTGTGGTAGTCGGTACAAAAGGAAACCAATATCATTAGAATAGTTTCAAAACATACTTAATTAACGGTATAGGCGACCCAAAAACAAAAAAACGGAAGTGGTTGCTATTTTATTTTGTGCGTTGGTAAATCACAGGGCCCGCATGCGTGGAATTTTTACTGGAAATATTGGGTGCTGATTGACACTAGGGCTGAAATGCGAAGCGAGGGACATGCGACCCTTGTGTGGGGTTGAACCTGGCTAAATAATGATCCTAAATATTATGGTGAAAAGAGCAGCCATACGCCGCCGTGTGTCGTTCACATCTGCAGGAGTGTGGTTTAATGACGGTTGTGTGTGGGGAAGGAAACACGGTGTAGGGGATAGTAGGGACCTCGCAGCCCGTGTCGGTAGGGTAAACATTTGGGGGGTTCCTGTTGAAAGTTGTGGATTGTGTTGTTCCAAGGTTTTTACACAATACAGTATTTTTCCCATCACTAAACTAAAATATCATTGAAACTATTTCCCTGTCGGTTACATTATGATTAGTTAGACATTCTGTCTAACCTATAAGAGATTTGCAACAACGCCGGAACGTGCGCTGGGTAAACAAAAAAACGGATAATTGTAAAAAAAAATAGTTACATTATTTATATTTTAGTGGTGCAGTTGTCGTTACTTCTTTGAGAGTGATGAAACCGTCGTCGTCGGCGGCGGCGGCGTCGCTTGCATGTGGCACAAGGATCCATCGTCCTACTTATAGATCACTGGTTTTTCATCTGCTGCTGTTGCCGGTGCTTCTCACACGTTCCACCCACACTAGTATGCCACTAGTCCTTTTTTTTCTTCTTTCTTTTGACAAATAAAATATATACAACGGTTATTGTCCCGTATAGGATACACGTGTGTAGGTGGGGTGCTTTTCTCCCCATTGCCTTGTATCGTTTTTCGGCTTTTACGACGATGGCGGCGACCATTTGCTTGCTTCGTATAAATCCACCTTTTGTCCGAAAAATAAATAAATGTATAAATCCAACTACACACACACAAATGTATAGGGTCTGTCCCCCCGCAGGTAAGCCACTGCAGCAGGTAGTAATATTATACATAATGTTAACCTCGTTTGGCAGAGCGATATTGTCGTGCATTCTTGTAAAAGGAGTTTTAGTGTAAGTCCTCAGTAAACGTTAGTCGTTGGGATTTGCTCGGATCGACGGTATATACCAGCCGGTTAAGGTCCAGT